GAACGTTTGGGAATCGTGAGCTGTCATTTGGGCCCAGCAGAGATGCCAACCACTACGATTTATCCGTATTTTATACGAATTTCTATTCTTTTTGCACCACTACGATTGATAACTACTCCTTTTTTTTTCAATTATTGTCATTTTTTGTCAATTTATTGTCATTTTTGACCCTCAGAATGCAGGAAATTGTATCTCAGAATCAAAAAATTTTCTGGGGGGCATGCCGGACCCCCCTAGCAAACTCGGGTCACTACGTGACCCTCGAACTACTAATTTGATGGCCAGAAACTACAGATTGCTTCAAATATGTGTTGGCATCTCTGGCCCAGGGAGAATGTGTACTAGCCGAGGTCCTTTGGACCCAAAGGAAAGTTCATGAACCTACCTGTAGCTGTCGCACTGTATGCTTCAGGTTGGATTTATTATATTAAAATTCTGTAATTGCGGATATGGGAGGAAGCTGCCACTTGTGGCAGACAGCACAGACGGGGTGGAATCATCCACTATCTCCCCTCACACCTTTATTATCGCGTACCCATATTGGGTCATGCCGTGCCCCTCGCTTCGTTACCTAATCACACACCTGCATAATGGAATACCTGTATCATGCAATAATTCATTGCACTGTTTGCACTACTCAGTATACAGTTCTTTTTTATACAGATTCAGCATGTGCGTATGCAATATGTACAAATGGAAGATAACCTAGCTTGTGGATCATGAGCGATTTTGATTGTAATATGTTTTAATCGTTAGGTTTGCTATGAGCACACTGTTCGCATTTATATTATAGTGTAATATAGTTATACTCATTCGTTATTGATCCACGTAAAACTACTGTTGTTTTGGCCATTTTTTCGCGCGTTCTGCGTTCTCTGCTACCGTCTACACTATAACAATCTAACACGTAGCCTACTAGATTGATCAAACATGGCGCCATGCCGGTGAGATGGAAAGCTCAATTTAAAGCATCCGTTGCAGACTTCAACCCACTGGTGTTACCAATTTGCAAAATGTCTACCGACTACGATGAACCGATATCGGACCAAGAAAAGGTAGTTGTTTTCCTTCTTTCCCAGTTCGTATTTATTTACTTTTTCGTGGAAACCGATGTATAGTATAACAAGGTAAATTAATGTTTAGAGTTTGTAGGCAGACAACACCCGATAACTTTACTATAGGTTGCCAAACCCTAACAACCGGCACTTCCTCGAACTTTGACTGTGTGACTGTTGTAGTCCACACCCCTTGGTAGTTAGTAGACAACCAATCATTATGCGTTATTAGAATTTTACGCCCTGTCTAACCTGTGTTTCAATAACATTTCGGCTGCTGTATACCATATAACCAGCTATTTGACATTTCACAGGTCTAATAACTTTTCACAATTAATTTAATTTAGTAATATACTAGAATAGAATAGTCGCTGGGGTTATTGACATGCAATGTTTATGAATATAGTTTGTTTGGATATCTAGGCCCAAGGATAGAGAACATGGGTCCCAATAAAACCAATGTGCCTAAACCTAACCCTAACCCTAATTCTAACCCTAACTCTAACCCTAACCCTAATCCTAACCCTAATCCTAACCCTAACCATAACCCTAACCTATTATATTGATGTAATATTATATTTATATTGATGTAAATTACATCGGTTTTATTGGGACCCATGTTCTCTATCCTTGAACCCACATGACCATGTTATGTACTGATGTAAACATGTGAGCATAGTCTATGCCGTAGATGTGCTACATTAGTGCCTTTGTTAATTATTAATATTATTGGCAAAACAGAGCTGTTCACTTTGGTTTTTTTAGGTCAGGATAGCCTCCGATTTCATCCTACATGCTCCGCCTGGAGAATTCAATGAAGTCTTCAATGGTTTGTACATCGAATTTATACAAAAGCCACGCTGTTGGAACTTTCGCTGCCTATCCATCAAGTTAGAAATGATAGCAACAGTTGCAAATTGCCTGCTGTCGATTTGGGAAGTTAAAGTAACTTTCTCGCTGGCTGTAAACTGCTGTTGCCAATGGAGATTCTTGGTTTGTCGTTTTGAGAAGCTCTACCTAATGCTAATCTCCTGTTCTCGTGGCCAAATTTCCACCAGTGCTTTGTATATTTTAGGGGGTTTTCTTGCTTTTGCTCTAGATGTACGATTGCTACTGAACAATGATCAGCTATTGAAAGAGGGTGCATCTAGGTGAGTAATTTGAGAAAGCGAGTTCACGTTATCTCGGTTTTAGATTGTTGGTGTTCCGTGAAACCTGCCTAATATGGCAGAGAGTATTGCAACCCATTGATTATTTACTAGTTGCAGATACTACCTATTTGTAACATAGCTGTACCAATGTAGCCCTTCTCTCCGCCACATGCGTCACACGGAGGTCGGGGCCGAGTTAAGAGTGGCACGGGTAGAGCTACATGTAACAATGAAACGATATCACCCGAGTAAGAATGACACGGTCGTGCTCGTACTCATACGGATGTGAGAATACTGATACGATCAGACCGATCCGACTGATAAAATACGCATGCTGATGCGATCGTATCGCGGCTGGTGTTTTTCGCAGCGCGTTCGCGCAGTACAACAAGGAGCAGTTCACGCCGGTGAAGATCGAGGATTCCGACAAGCAGACGTTGATAACGGAACACGCGGATCTGGGCGGCGCTAGGTTCGTCGATCCATGCAGCAAGCAGAGCTTCAGGTGAGTGCGTGCGCATCCTTGCCACCTCGCCGACAACGCATTAGCCAGCGAGCCGTGCAGCCGTGATTTGCACAGTCAGTTTTGAAACAGCATGGCCAAAAAAATTTAAATATTTAAAAATTTAAAAATTTTCTGTGGGAGGACCCCCTCTCATACTCCCCTCCCGCCCCCTCCCCCCCGGTCAACGCCTACGGCGGTCTTGCCTGAGACACAAAAAATTGCACCCCCAAATATTTTTTCTGCAATCCCACAATACTCATTCCTGGCTAATACCTTACTCGCTGATTTCCTCACCCGTACCCTTTGTTTTCTCAATCGATTCTCCAATTCGATCTCATTCAGTGGATGCAGATGATCAACCGTCAATGATAATTATCGATAATAATGTAATAATAAATATTACTAAGTACTACTATTACTACTACTAATAATAATAATATAATATAATAATAATATAATGAAATAATAATAATAATGATAATGCCGATGATCGTCGCTACCTTGGCACCCGCGCCGCTCACCGTCTCCCCCCGGCTGCTCCCCGCAGGTACGATCACCTGCGCAAGGAGGCCAGCGACCACCGGCCGACGGAGGCGGACGCGCGGCTGGAGCCGTGGCGGGCCGCGCTGGAGACGGCGTTCACGGGATATGTGCAGGACCACTACAAGCACGGCGTCGGCGTCGTGTACGCGACGGGAGACGCTGGCGCCATCACCCTCGTCGCCTGCATCGAGGACCACATCTTCCAGCCGAAGAACTTCTGGTGAGTCTTCCTTTTTCCGGAGGTAGCGTGCGGTCTGACCTGTGCGTTCTGCAGAGGGTTTCCAGCGCCTCTCTCGTAGGAAAGGCCCATAAAGATTGCACAGTTGAGCTTCTGGTGAGTCTCTTCTCCGGAGGGAGCGTGAGGCCTGACATGTGCCGTCTCTAGAGGGTTTCCAATGCCTCTCTGTCGCTGAAGGCCTACTCCTGAAGGCCGCAGTCAAACTTGGGTCGGCGGTTGAACTGACAGTCTGAGAAGTTAGACCGTGTGACCACTAGGGGGCCTTTACCACGACAGGGAGGCATTGGGATGCCTCTACGGATGGCACAGGTCAGTGCTCGATCCTCGTTTAGCACTCCTGATTCGTTTAGCACGTACGCGAACTGTATATACCAGCGTTCCAAACTAGGATTGAGCACTGACCTGTGCTGTCTATAGAGGCATCCAAATGTCTCGCTGTCACAGGAAAGACCCATAAAGGTTGCACAGTCGAGCTTGTGTCGGCGGCCGCTCCCTGTAGGATGGCCACCTGTCTATTAAGGCCACTTGGCGTTTTGCTCGAGTGGGCGAGTAGTGTGCACTTAAACCAATTCAGTGTAGAAGGGTCAACTGTCCGTAAAAGTCACTTTTTACATTACCCTTGAGAACCACCTCAGCTACTCGGTAACCAAGCTGCTCCTCTGGCTATGTTCAATCTAACAGCTGCGTATGGGTGCGTACATGTGCGAAGTTGGTGGTACGCACGTGCGCTGTGCCGAGCTCGTCCCGCGTACGCGACGCTGTGTTTGTGATTTCAGGAACGGGCGCTGGCGCTCGCAATGGTCTCTCACGTTCTCCCCATCATCTGCCGCCTCTCAGCTCAACGGTGTCCTCAAAGTGCAGGTGGGTGTGGCATACGTGCGTTAGTGCGTTGTGTGTGAAGGTGTCTGCGTGTGTGTGAGAGCATTGTGTGTGGAGGTGCGTGCCTGTGTGCGTGGGTGTGTTGTGTGTGGAGGTGCGTGCATGTGTGCGTGGGTGTGTTGTGTGTGGAGGTGCGTGCCTGTGTGCGTGGGTGTGTTGTGTGTGGAGGTGTGTGCCTGTGTGCGTGGGTGTGTTGTGCATGTGTGCGTGGGTGTGTTGTGTGTGGAGGTGTGTGCATGTGTGCGTGGGTGTGTTGTGTGTGGAGGTGTGTGCCTGTGTGCGTGGGTGTGTTGTGTGTGGAGGTGTGTGCCCGTGTGCGTGGGTGTGTTGTGTGTGGAGGTGCGTGGGTGTGTTGTGTGTGGGAGTGCATGTATGTGGGTGTGTTGTGTGTGGAGGTGTGTGCCTGTGTGCGTGGGTGTGTTGTGTGTGGTGGTGCGTGGGTGTGTTGTGTGTGGAAGTGCATGTATGTGGGTGTGTTGTTATTGGAGTTTGTGTGAGCATGCTTACCTGTATTGCGTGTGGCTTTGCTTGCATGTTTGCATACGTGCAGTCTAGTGATGCCATATGGTGGTGCTTGCAGGTACATTATTATGAGGATGGCAATGTACAGCTGGTGAGCTCTAAGGAAATTCAAGAATCAATCACCATAAGCGTAAGTGTCACATGTGCTGTTACGGCAAACGCGATTGATATCGGATATGGTGGTGGCCTATGTATAGCTGTAATACGGCCATTGCTTGATAGGAAAGTGTTAGAGTGTTTGCTCATGTAGTCAAATTTTTTCTGTTTTTTAAAGTTCTGGGTAGTGAATGTTTTATTATGGTTAAGCCAAACAAAAAAATAGGTGTGTTTCCGGTCGACCGACCGTCTCTAGATTATTAGGGCCGTCCCTAAACTTTTTTCAAAAAAAAGAAAAGAAAAAAAATTCAAAACTTGATGAGATTTTTTACTACAAACACGTTCTAGACTTGCTTACTAACTTATCCCTACCTATACACCACTCTATAGCATGCATCAGAGGAATATTAGGAACCGAAAAAAAAAAAATCCCTACCTACCTACCCTACTTTTGTTTTCGATGCAATAGGAAACACACCTATTTTTTGTTTGGCCTTACACACAATAGGTATGATTGTGTTGTGATAGTTGTAATGATTTATCCTATTTTTTATTGTAGAATGAAACTCAAACAGCGAAGGAGTTTATCAAGATTATAGAAGAAGCAGAAAATGACTACCAGGTAAAAGCCAGTTGTCTAGAAAAGCCGGATTTATTAAGATTATTCGCTTGCCATCAGGTTGCTATGTATGGAACGTTAACGCTGCGAGTTCTTGTTTTTCGCTATTGTTTATTAGGCATTTTCGACTCTCCATGTGAAAATTGTCTCACTGTCTTTTAAAAGAGTGTCTTTGTGATCATTTCTGGCTACTAGTGTTGCAGCTACCTATGTTACAACTTACCAGCTACGTGATACAGTAGTCCCACTATTTTAAAACAGTATGTCTGTGTGTACGCTGTCTGTGTTACAAGTGACCCTCTGTTGAAACTGACCGTCTGTGACAATAGTCTAGCTGTATATAAAAACATGCCCTCCACGTTATCACTGACCCTGTTCATCTCTAATCGTTCAATGCCAACCCCACCTCTTTCTCTCTTCCTCCCTCC